TTTGTATGTAGTTGATTTTTATGTATCGATATGAAGTCCTGTTGTGGTGCTGGACTGCTAATTGCATGGTCAGTGCTTCCCACCTTGGAAACTTGATAGCACGTAACAACAGTATCTAACAGTTTATTTCTGATGGGTCTGATTAGAAAATGGAAGGGTATGCACAGTTCTATGTTCACCGACTGTATAGCTCAGGTCATGGTAGCTGTACATTTCAGGGTAGGTTTGACATATGCTGGGTTTGTCTATTGTTCATCAAAACTGGTAGTGACTTTTGCCCAATGAGGGTACAGTTGTGGCTAGGCTGAGTGGGCATCGTTGCTGTTTCCTGCCAGGTGAGGCAAGAGAAAAATGACACAAGGAAAAAAAATCTAAACAAAGAAGTAGAGGAAAACTGAAAACGGGAAAGGAAATGAAAACTTTGGAAGAGAAAATAAACTAAACAAAAACTAGGAAGAGGGAAGAAGAAAAGAGAATGGGAAGATGAAAACAAAGTACAAAGAAGGGTGGAAAAAAGAAAAGAAAAAATAAGTTGTGCAGAAATAAAGGTTAAAAACAAGCGAAGGGAAAAAGGAAGGAGTAAAAACAACAAAAGGAAAAAAACTAGGGCAGGGGCTAGACTCAAAGAGGAGAAAAAGGGAGGGATGAGAGGGTGACATGCTCAGCCCAAATGGCAGGGCACCTAATCTGGAAGTAGTTCATGCCACCCAGAAAGAATTCTTTAAGTGCCATAGGGCTGCTAGAACAGAGCAGCTAGTTATGTTAGTATAGGGATGGTCAGGTACCAACTCTTAAGTGTTCTGCAGATCTGAAGAAGCAGAGTTCACAAAGCCATGTGTCTTTGACCTTTGTCAAAACAGGCTGTTGTTGGGGGTGGCTGAGGGTGGTAGCAGGCCATGCATTTGGTCTCCAGGGGAATATGAGGAACAAGGGAGATTTGTTCCTACCTTTCTCATCACCAGCCACTGGTGTGCATCCATGCTGTGAGGTCACTCACTGCTTGGATCCAATGCTGGTCACAAAAGTTCAAGATGACTGCACTGAGTCAGGCCAGCCAGCAGTTATCCATCTGTCTCCTTTCTCACAACCTCTAGTGAGCTTCCATATTCAGTCTACTCCTCCATCCTATCCTCTGAAGCTCAGGGTTCCAAGATTATCATGTGTGTTTCATTTGATCACTCGGGTTCTGGTGTGGGATAAATCACTGGACCACAAAATATGTTTGAACCTCAAGGTCAGCAATTCAAATTCACCAGCCATCTCTTGGAAACCATATAGGGTTGCTATGAGTCGGAACCAACTTAATGGCACTTAACAACTAATCAGTATTGTAGAGTATCTGTATAGCCTGTCTGCCTTCTTCCTGGAAATCCCTAGTATATATGTTATTAAATGGTCCCAGCCTATGTGTTTTCTTACTTGCCAAAAGATTCACTTCAAAATAGGATAACATTTTAGAGCAGTACTTTCATTTCCTAGTATCTAAAATTTTCCAAAGAGAGAAAAGAAATTTTTTCTGTAACAAATTCAGATGTCCCTTCATATGATATTGTTAACCATGCAGAAAAGATCTTTATACATTAGTTATCTGTTGACTAAACAGTTGAGTCTAGCACACAGTGAGCAAAGAAATTTTCACCACAATAAAATTGGATATCATTTTTTTTACCCAACCATCTTGGAGATTCTTGGGTTTTTTCTCTCATCACAGTCTACCCTTCAAGTTTACTTTTATGACTTTTCATCAGATTTTTATAAAACCCAGCACTGTACTTTGTGGGCTCTTTGAAATTATTTCTCACAGTGTATGTGAAGAGATTTATCTTCTTTATTAATCATATTGTTGTTGTTGTTATTTTGTGCCGTGAAGTCAATTCCGACTCATAGCGACCCTGTACAGAGCTTCCGAGGCTGTAAATCTTTACAGGAGCAGAAAACCTCATATTTCTCCCACGGAACAGCTGGTAGTTTCGAACTGCTGACCTTGCGGTTCGCAGCCCAGTTAGTAACCACTACACTACCAGAGTTCCTTATTAATCGTATACAGTCTGTATTTTATGCCTGCCAAAGAAGGAAGGATTAGAAAGGGGTAAAAAAGCAATGAAAGTGAAAATATAAAATGTGTATTCATAAACAGCCTTAGGAATATATTCATATGTTCCATTTTTATGAACAGATAAAAATGCAAATGTAAATTTAGGAAAAATAATTTTAACTGAATGCAGCTCCAAAAGTTAATGCATACTTTGGAATACTTAAAATGGGGCTACAACATGCCCAGTGAAGGAGGCTTCCTGCTGCAGAGCCTCTGCATTACATTAGACCAAAGGTGGAATCCTGAACAGCATCCAGAATCTTCTGAGGTGGAAAATTTCCACTTAAAAGGACAAGCAGACCAGCCTGGAGCAGTTAGAACAGAAAATACTTCTTGCAAGAAAGACCAATAGGAAAAATATGAAACAATATAGGTAGTCCAACTGATTACTACAAGAACAAGCAAGTTGCTCGCCCAGGAGACGTCAAGGCAAGTGGTCAGGTCCCCTCAGACTAAACCCATTTTCAAGACTAAGACTCAGTGGGAATACATGCTCTGATTGGTGACCACGTTCATCACCGATAAGGGGAAGTGATAGAAAAACAGCAATGAAGCTGCAAGCTAAGCCCTACAATGTTCAATCGACTCTTGTGAACCCAAGTGGAGACTTGGTCGGCCAGCAGTATGGCAAGACCTCGGGACTCTTGGGCCCAGAGTCAGTGACATAGCCACAGAGGACTAGAGTGGACAGTGAAGCGTCCAGCTGATAAGAAGAGAGGGCATATGCACAAGAATGCCCACACTTGCAGATAATACACACTTGACTTGGCTTCAATGACTGGATGATCAGAGCACAACTAGAAGAAGAAAGAAGAGGAAAAGAGTAATCTGATACAATTTGATGAACTTGACTTCCACTTATGGATGCAGTAGCTCTAAAGAGGGAACAAATCCTTACAGCAAGAATCATTCCCACCCCTCCATACACAGAGTAGACAGGGATGGGCCACTTGGACATTGGCTACCCAAAATGGGGGAGCCTACAAAGGCAAGAAGTGACTGGCTTATAAGCCTTCAAGAGTTGTCTAGATCCAGAGGGCATGGAGGAGTAGTATCAAGTCTGCCTGGGAAGGGCTGATGAAAGGAGATGTGGATAGGTCTCTTGTGATACAATAGTGAATAACTGTTATCAGGACTGATTGTGAGGGTTGGAAATGTAAAGGTAGACGTTTTGTAACAAAAGGAGGGCAGTGATTGACTTTGCAGTCTAGGAGCGGAGGTCCCTGGGACCATCAAGAGAGAAGAGTGCACGACCCTACCCAGAGAAAAAGTGACACCAGAGAAAGAAGCAGAGACGATAACATGAAGTAATGGAGGCCAGAGAGGGAGAGGGACTGTGTGCTGATGACCGAGGGCAGGCTTGCAGGGTATGCCCTTTGGTTGGTTGATGATGCACGGAGGGGATTGGGAACCATGGCAGTGAAATGATATACGATAGAATGAACATAAAACTAATGTTCTTCCATGTAAACTTTCACATGATTCGAAATAAAACTTTTTTTTAAAAAAAAAAGTTAATGCATACTAAGACTTGAGTTACATAAGTGCTATATATATATGTTACACATTACTTTAACATATTGGCTTCTCTGCATTGAAAGGCACAGCTTATTCAAGAAAATAATGCAGCAGTTCAGAAAGGATCAACACTGTGCGTTAACAGCCTAGAGAAGCAGTATGTGGCTTTGGAGATTCAGAGCTTTCTTATTCTTTAGACTAGTCTGTCATACTTTAGAACCCTGGCATCAGTTTCATTTTAATCCCTCCCAGTCCAAAAGACACAAAGAAAAGGAAGATAAAATATGACATTAGTCCAGGGAATCAGGACATATGTGTAATGTTACTATCATAATGATATCATGCATTTATATAGTACCATGCACCAGGTACTAATTAAGCACATCACACATATTCAATCACATATTGAATAGCAGTGGGACATTGTCAGATGTAGTGCCAGAAGATGAGCTCTTCAGGTTGGAAAAACTAGCTCCTCAAAGTAGAGTTGACCATTATGACACAAATGGGGTAAAGCTCTCAGGGACAACTCAAAATGAAGAGAAACAGCTGTAAACATCCATTAATTGAAATATAGAATGTGCGAAGTATGAATCTAGGAAAATTGGAAATTGTCATGTCATGAAGTATAACACTGTCTGTGATGGATATTATCCCATACACCTACAAGGAAGACCTGTTAATACCACTGTTATTCAAATTTATACACTATCCACTAAAGCCAGTGATGATTAAATAGAAGAATTCTACCAACTTCTTTAGTCTAAAATTGATCAAACATGCAAAAAGATATTGATAATTACTTGTGAACAAACAGGAAAGATTAGTGGTTACAAAATATGGCCTTAATTCCCCCCCTCCCAATCCTGAATGAAATTAATTACGTACAAGCAGCTATTGGAAAATGTCCACTAATGGTTTACTATGTACTAAATCATGTAGTTTCTTTGTTCTGATAGTACAATAATTCTTTAGTTATGAAACTTTGTAGACTATTTTAGTACATTATTATAAGTACAGTGGCATATCAAATACATCTTGATCTTTATCAAGATTTTATTGAAAGGAATTTTAGTGTTTCTTTAAATATAGATGTATTTTTATCATGAATAGATGTTGAATTTTCTATTTTTGTCTGAAGATAAGGTAAATCACTTGAGATTCAGAAAAATTGTCTTATTTATGCTATTCAGTCTTCCATCCAGAGCATTGTGTTTATTCATTCATGTCTGTAGTCTTCTCTCAGTAATTTTTTTTCTCCCTCTAGATAGTCTGTAGATTTATTGAGATTACTTCTGTGTTTCCTGTATTTTTCTTAAAGTATAAACAAATTAGGGCTGATAGCCCTATAATTTTTAACCCTCTTATGTTTATATGTTATTGTCAGGTGGAAAGAAAAACTCAATGAAATCTGCAAAAGATGGCACATCTTCTGAAGAAGAAACAGAAATAGAAAGGCAAAAGGTAAAATGGAATCACTGTTACTTGCTTCGTGGATAATTGATATGTATAAGTTAAGTTTTTCGTGAGTCTCTAGGGCCTTCGATAACTGATTTTAGTGATGAATTTTATAAATAATTATAAAACCCATAGGTTTAGAAACTTAATTTTTAATAATACCTTTCTGCCAAACATTTTTTCTTCAACTAATGCATAATTAAAATTGACTTCAAACTACAGGTACATTCTTTTATGATGAAGAGGAATTTATCTTCTTATTAAAACTACTAAATAACATCGCCATAAATTGTAATTTAATCTGAAATCTGCTCTATAATAGAGACTTCACCTTTACAACTTGTTCCTGTCTTTACTATTGCAAATAATGTAAGTACACACAGACTTCAAATGTTTCTTGGAAATGTAGTGAGCCGTGTACTTTAGTGACCCTAAAAACCCAAATGCAGAATTTTTTGCTTGGTTTTCCTGAGCCAAGAATTGGAGTAAGATCAGCAACGAAAATCAATTATATTCCTTTATACTAATTAAGACAACCCGGAAAACAATACCATTTACAATAGCCACCCAAAACATGAAATACTTCTAACTATAGGAATAAATCTAACTATAGAAACTAAAGACCTATACAAAGAAACTTATAAAACACTACTACAAGAAACCAAGAGACTTACAAAAATATAAGGATTTACCATGCTCATGGATATGAAGACTTAACATTGTGTAAATGTCAACGCTACCCAAATCAATCTATATATATGATGCATTCCCAATCCAGATTTCAGTGTCATTCTTTAAAGAAATGGAAAAACTGATCACCCGCTGTATATGGAAAGGAAAGAGACCTCAGATAAACAAAGCATTATTTAAGAACAAAAGTGGAGTCCTCTCACTTCCTGATCTCAAAATCTATTACACAGCCTCAATGGTCACAACAGCCTGGTACTGATACAGTGATAGATACATAGATCAGTTGGAACAGAATTAAGAACTCAGAAGTAAACCCATCCACATATAGTCAGCTGATCTTTGACAAAAGGCCAAAACACATAAAATGGGGAAAAGATAGTCTCTAAAGATTATCAGTCAAAAAACAGAGACACACTTACAGACTATAATAAATGGCACAAATATTACTAAGCATACACAAACATAAAATGAATAGATGACTGGGACCTACTAAAAATTAAATATGTATGTGCATCAAAAGAGTTAAGAGACCCCATAGAATGGGAAAAAAATTGGGGCAGTAACACATCAAACAACAGACTGATCTCTATAATTTATAGCAAAAAAACAACACCTGTACCATAAAAAGACAAGCAACCGAATTTTAAAAATGGACATAGGACATGAACAGACACTTGACCAAAGAAAAGACATTCAGGCAACCAACAAAAATGATGAAATATTCACCATCAATAGTCATTAGAGAAATGCAAATCAAAGATATCATCTCAACTCTAACAACAACAAAAAAGAAAACAAATGCTCGCAAGGGTGTAGAGGTATTGGGACCCTTCTACCTTGGAGGTTGGAATGTTAAATGGTATAACCACTGTAGAAAACAATATGACACGTCCTCAAAATGTTGAAAATCAAAATACCTTTGTGGTTGGTGTTTTTTAAGTGCTGTCCAGCCGTACCAGGACTCCAAAAATACCTTTTGAACCAGCAATTCCTCTACATGGAATATTCCACAAGAAATAAGAGCCTTGACACAAGTAGATATATGCACACCCATGTTCATCACAATACTATTCACAATAGCAAAAAGATGGAGACAGCCTAAATGCCCATCAGTGGAAGAATGGATAAATAAACTGGTATTTATACACAGTGGAATACTTGGCAGCACTGAAGAATAACGATCAATCTGAAAAACATCTCATAATATAAACGAACCAGGAGGACATTATGCTGAGTGAAATTAGTCAGCCACAAAAAGGACAAATATTGTAGGAATCCACTATTGTAAAAACTCAAGGAAAGGTATTCATACTAAAAAAAGAAAAAATCATTCTTTGATGATTAGCAAGGGTAGGAGGGCAGGCAACTTGGGTGATTGGAAGGGCAGTATATACTAGGAAGGTTGGTAGAATGCTGAAGACATGTGAAGACACAGGTTTGTAATGGTTAAAGGGGATAGAGGTGTTACTGTTTTTAAGTACTGTCGAGTCTGTTCCAACACATAGCAACCCTGTAAAGAGTTTCCAAGGAGCAGCTGGTGAGCTTGAACTGCCAACCTTGCAGTTCAAACTGACCTTCCAGTCCACAGCACCACACCAGGACTCCACAACTAGAGGTAAATACTGCTATATAAATAACCCTGGAACTACAGTTTCCTGCAGGCAGATACACAGACTGTGTGAGTATGCAAAGGAGAGGTGGGGGTATTCCCACATAGATATAAGGATTTGCAAGAGAATATTTTTGCATGGGTATTTACCTTTCTTGAAAACGTAACTTCATAGTTGTGGTAGAGCATACAAGTGAGAAAAATGATGAAAACTTTGTTGATATCATCGAACTTCTTAAGTCAGTGGAAGCTCAGGACCATAGTCACAGGGTCACCATGGTCAGTTGGCATAACGATTTACAAAGCCAATGTTCTGTATCCTACTTTGGTTAGTAGCAGCTGGTAGATTACAAGCTCATTAGCAGCCATCTAAGGTGCAATTATGGGTCTGTCCATGTGCAGAACAAAGAATGATAAAAATCTGAAGATGCTTGGCATCAACTAATCCATTGGACCAATAGAACTTGTTAACATCAGTCACTATGACTTTTAGACTAGAAGAACTAGATGGTGCCCGACTGCCACTATCAACTGCTCTAAAAGGGAAGGATCACACTAGAAAGTCCTGGATAGAGTAGAAAATGTGGAACAAAACTCAGAATTATAACAAAAACCAGGCTTACTGGTCAGAAAGAATATGGAGGAACTGTGACCCTCAACCAACCTTCAGGTCAGAAACAGACTTCACCCAATTTTCAGATAGGTGTATATTTGGGACAACAACACTAGTAAAGTGTGGAATGGTCAGTCATTCAAGATCAAAAGGGCAATATTTATCTAAGGGCAAAGTTGAGAAGTGGTGGGAAGAAGGATAGGATGGAAATAAGTAAGAACCATAGTGAAGAAACTGTTGTTCCACGGAGGGGATTGCAATCATTGAGATGAAGCAAAGAGTATGATTTGTTGAATGTAAAACTGATAATCTTGTCCGTAAACCTTCACTAAATCCACAATAAAATGTTTAAAAAAATAACAAAAAACCCAGTGGAACAATTCTACTCTGTAATATATGGGATCCCTCATCACAAATTAGAATCAACTTGATGGTTAGAGTCCCCATAACCCTTACATCCTAATACAAAACCATGTTAGTGTATACTGCATGCTAATATTGTATGCATTATTGTTGCTATTAAGTGCCGTTCAGTTGGTTCTGATTCATAACAACTCTGTGTACATTTTCCAAGGAGGTGAGTTTGAACCTCTGACCTTGCCACTAACCATGGAGAGATATAGAGTGCTTCCATTATACCAGAAGGTTCTTCTCAGCAAAGCAACTACAAAACTGATTCTGTCACTATCAGTTAGGTTTTCCTGTTCATGAGTTTCATGTAAATATTTTTTAGACCTGTCTTCTTTCATTCAGTATAATTATCTGTGAGATTAAAAAAAAAAAAAAAATTGGAGTCAACAATGCCCACATACTGACTGACTTTCACGTTACTGTCTAGGAGTGAGCCTCATACCTGCCTTTTAAATCTTTTCTGTTCTCCACTCCTTTCATATACAAAATGCTCATGAAATTATTTTCAAAGCAATAGAAAAACTTTCTTTGTGGAAGCTAGTTCTAAAAAGAAAACCAACTGCACATGCAAGGGATGGAAGGAAAAGAAAATTGAAGCAGTCTGAAGAGGTAATATACAAGGGGACTTCAAAAAGTTTATGGAAAAATGGAATTTAAAAAATTTTTAAATTTAGGCTATATTTCTCAACATAAGTTCCAACAAGGTCAAGATACTTTTATAAGCAGTGACACCATCCATTTAACTGAGGTCCTTGGAATTTAACCATGTCAGTGCAATCATTTTTACATTATTAACTGAAAAAAATAGATGCAATTTAAAGATTTTTTTTTTCAGATTAAGAAAGAAGGAGCCAAATCATGACTGTAAGATTGCCTGATATTTCCCATAAATTTTTTTGCAAAATTTTCCTTGTTTGATGAGAGGAATGAGCAGGCGCATGTACATAGTAGATATTCTCTGGTGAAGCTTTTTCCGGATGTATTTCTGCTAAACCTTGGGTTAATTTTCTCAAAACACTCTCAGAATAAATAGATGTGTCATTGAACTCCAGAAAGTCAGCAAGCAAAATGTCTTTACTACCACAGAAAACTTTTGCCATGCCCGTTGCTCTTGACCAGTCTGCTTTTGCTTTGATGGAACCACTTTTACCTCTTAGTAATCATTACTTAGGAGTCCTGGTGTGGCACTGTGGGTTAATGCATCAGACTGCACAGCCATTTGAACTGCAAGGTCAGCGGTTCAAGCTCACCAGCTACTCCTCAGAAACCCTATACAGGGTCGCTATGAGTCAGAATCAACTCGACGGCACTTAACAACAACAAATCATTATTTTGATTGTGCTCTTTCTTCAGGATCACAACTCATAAAGCCATGTTTCTTTGATCTCCTCTTATAATTATTCAAAATGCTTCAGGTTCTTGATCCCACTTGTTTACATTTATATTGAAATCCCTCTTCTTGTCTGCAGCTGATCTGACATAACAGTTTGGATACCCATCAAGTGGAAAGTTTGCTCATCTCTAATTTTTCAGTCATAATTGTGTAGACTGAGCCAGTTGAGATGTTTGTGTACAATCTGTTGTTTCTGCTGTTAATCACTGGTCCTAAATGAAAACATTTAGGCCACAAACAAGATTGCTTCTTCGCAAGTTGATGCAGATTGTAGACCACAGACAGTTTCATCATTAACATTGCCTTGTTGTTGTTAAGTGCCATAGAGTCAATTCCGACCCTTCTTAAAATGAATTATCCATTTGTAAACTGTTAGTTGGGTGCGTTGCCCCCATAAACTTTTTGTGTAAAACATCAATGATTTTTCTTCATCCTTCTGCTCAAGCTTGACCATAAATTTGATGTTTCTGCTTGTTACAATTTCCCAGAATTCATATTGCTCTGATACGCACTCTTTTCAAACATGTCTTATTAGTGCTTCAAACTAGATCCTGTTCAAACACATTATAACAAGTTAGTTTGAGTTTATTTTGGTGCAAAGACCCCCCAGAAATTCATAGATAGTTTTGTTGTTTGTTTTTTTTCTATAACAGGAATTTTCCATGAACCTTTTGAAGACTCCTCATATGTAGGAAGATTCACAGAAGCCTGGATGCATGCTATGTTTTTATTGTATACATGATGGTTTATTTGATTCTTGAGGTTTCATGTTGAGTGTCATGGTCATTTTAGATTTCAGAAATACATGTTAGGACCTTGCCTTATTAGAAATACATCAATATTGAAAGAATACACCCAATAACTTTTCTTGGGATAAAAATACATGTTTGGAGATTTTACTGCATATATTACAAGATACTACACATCTGCTAGATTTAATGTCATTGTTTAGAAAAACTAAAATTAAAATGAGAAATTTTTACTTGAGGACTGTTGTTTTTGCAACCTGCTAAACAGTTATACTCGGTGACATGTGGTGTGGTTTTTAAATACAAGTTTTCACTCCTTTCCTGCTCTTAATTTGATGTTACTTCTGAAGACTACCTATCACTTTATGAAGATCTCTGGGTTTCTTTATGACTTTTGATAATCCACAGTCAGATTTATATAATAGATGTTGCCCTGGAGCATCACTGATGGAATTCTCCTTTCCTAGAGCATCTGTGCCCCATTCTACTTACCTAGGAGTGGGAGAATCTTATGTATTTGAACTGCTTCTCTTCATAGGCTGAAATGGCGTTGCTCATGATGGATGAGGAGGAGGACAGCAAGAAACACTTCAATTACAGCAAGATTGTGGAGCACCAGAATCTGAGCAAAAAGAAGAAAAAACAGCTCATAAAAAAGAAGGAATTATTGGAGGATGACTTTGAGGTAACCACAGGGACATAAGTCATTAGCTTCTTAAAGCCAGGTGTTGTCTAAAATCAGCACTTTACACAGAAATTGAGTGTAGTGAAAACTACTCTTGAAATGTCCCAGACAGGGTCCATTTCTGAGCCAAAGGCCATCTTTTAGTCAAACGAATACAGCCATTTAGTCATAGGGTAGATCGCATCACTATATTTTGGGATTCTGTTCAGTTGTTGAGTCTCTTCCGACTCTTAGCCACCAAGGAGTAGATTTGAACCGTCAACCTTACTGTTAGCAATCCAGTTGTTATCCTGCAGTGTTATACCAGGACTCTATTTTTGGTTGAGTACCAGCTAAACTACTTGGTTTGTATTTTGGTGGTCAAGTTATATAAGTAGCTTTTAATATGAGAATTACCCTCCATATAATGATCGTTCTGGAAAAGGTATTCAGAATTAATCCCAACTGAGGAATAACAGGCTTGCATCACATCAGGTTACACTCACTATAGAATGACCAGCTTGATGAGTTTTAATGACTGTTTCTCATTTGCATCTCTCACTCATCTCCTACTTCTTTGATGAGTACATAATAACAACTGATGGTCACAGAGCCTCTCTGCATTAGATGGTGCCCTTTACTGAAAACCCACAAACACTTTAAAGAACTACTTAATGACTTCCAATAATCAGTATCAAAAAACATGGAGGGGGGGTGGACATTCTGAATTTTCTGAAAGAATGTGGGATGGAGCTTTCAGATTACTTCTAAGTAGCGTTGAAGGACCAAACTCTTCAGTGAATGTAGTCAGTCTTCTATTACTGTAACTGCCTTCACACATTAATAGTAGTGCATGAAAATAGTTTTATTTATCTGTTGTTCTTACTAAGGGAGACTATTGCCTTAAAGAAAACTATTCCAACAGTTGATATCTAAGTGTGGTTTGTTTTACCCACTGCAAGTAGATTGTCATTACATGAAAGAACATTGTGCTTTGTCTGGTACAGCTCACAGTAGGC